CCCCAAAACCCCAAAACCCCAAAACCCCAAAACCCCTTAAATCATGAATAATGTTGAACTAAGTTGAAATTCCCTGCCTCTTGGCTGACTGATAACTTTATACTAAGATTCCTAAAGATTTAGGCTCCGAACTCTCCTTATAGCCTGGAACCCTAAAGAATGAGTACGATATAATTCTACAAGTAAGCACTAGCACCAAAATTTCTACAGAATCAGCATTGATTGCTTCTTTCTGTTCTGGATAATCTTCTGAACTCTCTTATTTGTCTTAGTCATTAATGTCTATTGATGGTTCAGAGAAACTTACGCTTTTCTGCATTGAATCGAGTTTAGGAACGTTAACATATTTGTGAATGTATTTATCATCACCTAGTATAATATCCTTCTCCAAGTGTTGTCTTGGTTTAGCTGTGCATAACTTGGAGTTGACTTACCAAGAAACTTTTGAATATTTTTACGCTTTGATCTGTGGTTTAGCTCCTAAGAGTTAATAAATTTAGAGGAAATACCATTTTATTTCAACCTCTTGTTGAACTTCTTTTTGTACGTTTGGAAGCTGAAGTCTCTATATTTCATCTTCTCCTTCTTGCTGAGGCTAGAGAAAGGAATAGGGTAGATAAAGTTGTGATACGAGACTGAGGTCACGGGAAGATCTGCATTTTTCGGACTCTGCTTTGTAGTATTGAAGTGTCTCCTTTGCTTCTTTTCACGCTCATCTACAGCTGATGCAAGGGAACTTATACCTAGGGAAAAGTATTTCTCAGCAAATGGAGTTTGTTCAATTTCCTGATCTTTGGCTAAACCATTCCCTCTTGGTGAAGTAGATATTACATAATGATGATCAAAGAAGGATTCAGCAGCTCTTGAATGTTCTATATTTTGAGTTGAGGTTTATTGGTATACCAAAACTTTCAGAAAACTCTCTCTGAAAGGAATTTGATCATTTTCGTAAATCAAGCTCGGCTGGGGTAGCCTAAATGGAAAATGAGTAGTTATTATGGAGAAGGATCACCATTTTTAGATAAAAATAGCATACTTGCGAATTCTGTGTTGCTGAAGAATCTTTTTCCTCCTCAATTATACTATCATCTACTACGAGGCCACCTTTGGGGATTGAAGAAGTTTCTATTTTATTTCATAGTTTTCTCTTTTTGTCTGTCTGACCAGTAGTTCTTCTTCGAGAATCAACTGAAGAATAATGAGAAATTATATACCTTCAAATTTATTATTTTCAAAATTTGAAGCAGGAGGTGACCGCCCATTACTGAGAGGAGACTGCCAATTATTGATTAAAGATCTCCCATTACTAAGGGGAGACTTTCCTTTATTGCTAGGAGCAGGACTAATTAGCCGGGAGAATCTGACACTTCTTTCCTTTTCCTCTCTCTTATTTGCGATGCTTCTCTTGAATAGTCTTTCATAGGCTCTCAGTGGTCTCTTCAATAACTTCTCGCATTGGTTTGACCACATTAGCTCCAACATTCTTGGAAATATTTGACAGAATTGCTCCCATTCTTAAACTCTGCTTTGGTTTTGCTATAGTTGGAGGAGATAATGGCCCAGTTCTATCTTTTAAAATTGAAAAATTTCTCTGCTTTTGTTGGTACAAGCTATAATTCCGTTTGGAGTACACCTTGCGTTTGATATCACACAAGCTTAATCCTGGTTTCATATCTTTGAGACGAACCTTTTTAGAGCACCTATTTGCTCAAATTGTCAAAGGAAAAGTCAATTATTTTTGATTTAGCCTATACTCATTGTTATCGTCATACTTCAATAGAGAAAATCGTTGGCTCAGCAGCTGCTATTGTGTATCTCAGCATGAAAATATTCATTAAAGTAAACTTATAATCACAGAAAGTTCACCTTAGATTTATTTGAATTGGATCGGTCGAGGAAGCCTGATACTGGTATTGAGATCAGGAGATTTGAACCTATGACGTTCAAATTTGCTGCTCCTTGTCTTTAACGATTTTGAATCATTTGAAATTGAGTTCTGCTTAATAATTTTGTTGGTTGGTAGGCTATGCAGCAATTAATTCATAAGTCCTCAATCTCTACTTAAATAACGAGCAAATATAGCATAGAGCTTAAGAGATTGAATGCCCTTACAGAAGAGAAATGGATGAGCTTAAATCTAGCTTACATTGAAACAATCCTTGTCTTGAAAGACGGTATAAAGCTTCCTAGGGTAGCCATTGCTTTAATCTCTATATATTCACTTAAGTCATTTTCAGGTTGATAAAATTGTTGAAATACTTATAAATTTAAGTAGGTAAGGATCCAAGTTGGTAAAGATAAATACCTTTAGAGCTGGAATTTGAGCTCTTCTTGAGGGACCTTTCAAGCTCTATTAATGGGTCGTCTTGTGAGAAAGCACTCTTATTAGCATCCATCTTGGTTATTTTTATGAGATTTATTATTTTAAAGCAAGATTATATAATTTTCCTGAAATGGGGTTTTGGGGTTTTGGGGTTTTGGGG